TGTAGTACATCTAGTACAGAGACACTTGGGGAAAAGGTGGCTTCTCTGTTTCTTGAGTATATAAGAAGTTAAGCTCATGATCTTCAAATCCTCTTTATTCGTCTTTGGAAGTTTCTTGTACCATCATTACTTGAGCTCAAGATCTCAAGATGTTTCCTCGGCTTTTGTTTTGTTCTGTTTTGCCTTCTCCTGTGATTCTAAAAATATATTATTTCGGATACTTTATGGTTCTTTTGTTCAGGGTGAAGATAAAGGTTCATGATTTTGGTGTCTTCTTGGAGAAATAGACCCGTTAGCAATATAAAATGCCCCGTTTTATTGTTTTAACATTTTGGCATTTTGTCTGATACTAATATTGACTTTCCTGCATTCTTTTTGTTGCCAATTTGCCTATTGATGTCTTTTTGCCATTTCTTTGATTTCAACCTTCATCAATTAGTGTGTCACAATTAGTGTGGACTCCCCCTCCACCTAATCTGTTATTTTAAAATAGAGTAATTTCATCTATTCACATTCTTGCACTTATGTTTGGTCTTACTTTTGTCATCTTATTTTATGCCTTTTTTTTAAAATAATTTTTCCTTTCTTGTTTTGTTTTCCCTTCCCTAACTCTGGCTGAATTAATTGAATTTCTTTGCCCTGCCCCCCAACACAGTGACTTGAAAGGTCTGTATCTTATTTTTCTTCTAGAAATGGTTACCCTTAAATAAAAAATTGGAACCCATACTTCCCTATTAATGTCATGAATTAAATGGTATCTAACTTCCAACAAGATGAGACCATTATTATCAACATCTATTTAGATTTGACTGTACAATATTCTACTTTTATCGTTCATCACTGTTTCCTGTGTATCCTGTCTTGACCTTTCTTGAGTTACTTATTTTGATACAGTTTTTATTTTGTTGGAGTAATTCCTTGAGTAATTTTTTTAAGAAAAGATAAGTGTGTGGCAGGCTATTTTTAGTGCTTCTCTTTTTGGCTTTGAGACTCGGCTGAGTAACCGATCTCAGGGTTTTAACCGTTTTCCCTCAGAGCCCTGTAGTCTCGGCTCTGTTGCCCTCTAGCAGTTCATGATGCAGATGTCAGGTCTAAAGCCAATTTGATTCTGAAAATTTGTCTTGAGACTGTCAGAGAGGAAGCTGAGTTCATTGCTCACCTGGGTAAGGGGAAGCGTCCCCTCCACAGAGCCTTGGCACGTCTGGAGGAGCGGGGTGAAGTTGGGACTTGCCGAGGACTGGAAGTCCCTCAGTGTCAGTGTGGCGCTTGATTAGGGTTGTATAAGAAAAACAGTACAACAGTCTGGGACTGGTGGAAACAGCAGGGAGGAATTTTGAGGCAAGGCAAAAGATTCAAAGAAGAGCTGATGGATCCTTCAGTAAGTTTCTGTAATCAGCAGTTAAGCCATTTGCCAGGGCTAGAGTGTCGTGGATGAAGTAGGTCATGCATTAAGATAGTAGGGTGCCCGGGCAGGTGGTCTCTGCCCCCCCACCCCCACTTTGGTCTCTTTGGCAAACTGAAGGATTTACTCATTATCCTTCGATTTCAAGAATTCCATCCCTCTTGCCCTGCCCAGCTCTGCTGCCTTGGCACCAGTTTCCTGGGGGTTTGGCCAGTGGGCTGCTCCCTGCTCACGTTGAGTGAAGCTGGCTTAGCTCTGATTTGATTCTCTGTCCCTCCTCCCCTACTCGTCTGCTTTTCCTCAGACTTGCTGGCCAGCCAGGGCTACCATGGACCTATTCTTATTTGTATGTTTCTCTTCATTTCAGCGGGTGGTGTTTGGGGGAGCAGAGGTAGATAAATGGGCTCAGTTCACCATGTAGACCCTCAGGTTGTGTGACACTTCCCGGTGATCCCGGTGGAGGTGTGTCCGCCATGCTCTCCCACCTGCCATCCGTGGCCAGAGTGGCACTGAGGTGATGCTAAGGGAGAGGAAGAGAGTGGCTCACCTCCTCCCCACATCCCTGATGGCATCTTTCCCTCCAGCCGCACCCCTGGGCCTGACCACATTACCTCACTCATCAGAACCATTCGGTGACCTCACTCCACTACAAGATCAAGTCCAGACTATCTCATCTATCAAGCGCTTTCCCTGCCCAGCTCTTCCCTCATGAGCTGTCCCTGCCCCTGACCTCCAGACATATGGACAGCAGGCAATTTCTCGAAGCTTCTGCCAGTTTGGGGTCTCCTGTCTACTTACACTGCTTCCTTTGTTTGAAATGCCCTCTCTCTCTCACACACACACACATGCAGACGCCATCAGAACTGACTGCTCCTCTCTCTGTATCTTCACCATGCAGCAGCTTAGAACATGCGAGACCCTGTAATGCAGTCCTTTGACTCCTGGCCCCTCCCCCATCCCCACCTCCACCCCAACTGTGAGCCCTTGGAAAGGAGGGACTGAAACTCTGCTCTTTTATCTCCAGGATCCACTACCCAGACTGGCTCAAAATAGGCACTGAATGCACATCTGTTAAATGAATGAACAACCAAGTAAAGTTCTAAAGAGAATTGTTCTGCACTCACTGTGTGACACACCACACCTGGCTCCAGGGAAAGTCAGACTGCCCCTCCCCAGATGTGTGCCGTCTACCAAGGCTTTAAGACTCCTGGAGTCTCTGTGCAGGATGAGCACTGCTACTTATCCTCAGAGGCCAGAAAATGTGCTCTGGGTTTTCTGGGGAGGCAGGACTTAGGTCCAGTTTGGGGGAAGCTGGCTGAGCCTTCTGAAGGAGGATGGGTAGAAGTTGGCAGGTAGACATGGTTACCAGGAGAGCGGAGCAGCGTGTGAGCAAAGGCTCAGAGGTGAGAAATTGTGGGACTGTGTTTATAGAATAACGTGTTCTGAGACATCAGTGTTTCTATGCTGGGAGGGATAGAACCAGCTGTTTTTATTAATAATTGAGATCTGCTGGAGGGCGTGAGGTCAGATCTGAGGATAATGGAAATACACAGTGTGAAAAGTTTGGATGGTTTGGAAAATAGAATCAGGAAATGACAGATGGGCACCAGAGGGCAAGTCCAACCACATGGCTGTGTGGTGGTGTGAGGCTGCCCTGGGGTGTGGCACTGGGCTGGCTGCACTTGAGAGCAACAGGTGCGGCAGGGAGGGAACAGTGAGGGGCTTTGGTTACCTGTACATTCGTAGGAACTAGTAGTGGGATGTAGTTGCCAAAACAGTAACTATTCCAAGGCTGTGTCAATGAAAAGCATGGTACCCAAGAGAAGGAAGGTGATGATGCCCCAGGCCTGCATGCAGTTACTCCAGACCTGGATTACTGGTGCACTGGAGTAGTAGCCATAGTACTACATGGGCTGCACTGCATGCTAGGCGTTGGTGCAGACCCTTTACATGGACCAAATCACTGAAACCCTGGGAGATACTTGCCATTTTTAGGCACCCTTACCAGGCACAGCAAGGCTAAGTAGCGTTCCAAAGCAGAGGTAATGAGTAGAAGGCTCAGAATGGAACCCAGTTATCCTGGCCCCTGGGAGCCTCATTCTCAGCCGTCACTCCACACTGCCTCCAGCAGATAAACCAGAGTGTAGTCTCAAGGGGGCAGCATGGATGTGACACACCGCACTATATTCAACTAGAACACTTTAGGCTTTTTACGTCATGAAACATGTTCCTTTATATTTCCTCATTTGATTCTTCCACCAGCCTGGTAAGTTGATAATTAAAAACTGATGCAGTAATCCTTGGTGCCTCCCTTGGCCCTGAATGCTCTGTTTTGTTTGGTGATTTGAGGAATACAATGTGCTCTTATGTCTATTATTGTATTTAATTCTCACCCAGGCCCCAATATGAGTCACTTTTGCAGGTTGTCTTGGTTTTCTCTTGCTGTGTAACAAATCATTTCCAACACAACATCTTAAAACAACCCTCCTTTGTTAGCTCGCAGCCCTGTAGGTCAGAAGTCTGGCACAGAGTGGCTGGGTTCTCTGCTCAGAGCTTAAATCGAGGTATCCAGAGGTTGAATTCTCATCTGGAGCCTTTAGGGGAAATTCTGTTTTTCCAGGCCCATCTGGTTACTGGAACTCAGGTCCTAGGATTGTGGGTTAGCAGGGGGTTGCTCTCAGCTCCAAGAGGCTGCCCACAGGTCCTTTCCACCCAGCCCCCTCCACCTTCAAGTCAGCAAGTGCATGTCAAATTGTTGCTCCTGGTTTTAATCCCAACTACTTCCTCTTCTGTGACCAACCAGAGAAAACTCTGCTTCTGAAGGACTTTTTCAGTTAGGTCAAGCCCATGGAATAATCTCCCTACTTTAAGGTCATGTGTGCCCTATCATATAGTCTAACTGCAAGAGTAAAATCCATCATATTCACAGCTCTGGGAATCATTCAAGATGCATGTGCCAGGGGGACAGGAAACCTAAGGGCCATCTTAGAATTCTGCCTACTTACTGGTGAAGAAATAGAGGCTCAGAGAAGTTAGGTGCCAGGTGCAAGAGAGAACATACTAGGCACCAGGGCCACCATGCCACACGGTCTCCCCAGGGGAAAACAGGGATCTGGCCCAGCACAAAGACAAGCCACCTAGGAGGCGTTGGGGGCCTGGGCCTCCTGGGACCAGGCAGACATTATTCTAGGTCTAAAGAAGTTGACCAGGCAAACTCTCTGACCATGTCTTTCAACCGTCCCCTGCAGGATTCGAGGCACAGACCTGGCAGCCTCAAACTAGTTCATGGAGGAGCCTCAAGAGACACGGGCCAGGTGAGCTCTCCCTTCCAGAGGGAAGAGCAGAGCATGAGAGGAGGCAGCTGCCGCAGGAGTGGACATGAACACTGGTTTTCAAAGAGAACAGCGTTTTAGTTTTGGTCATCGAAAGTGGTGCCTTCAACACAGGTAGGAAACAGGCTGGGAACTTCATCTGGGCATTCTGGCCTGAGCTTGCTAGAGTCTTTCCTCTTTAAAAATGGTGATAATGATGATGGTGGTGGTGGTGGTAGTGGTGATGACTGCTTTTCTTGAGCCTCTGTGAAAGCTGGATGCCCTCAAGGCTTCCTTGGTTGGGAATAGAGACCTTAAGGGCCAGCATTTTTTCACTGCGAACCACACTGCCTCCCCTCAAATGGAGTCCTGTCTCCCCAGTTCCTAGTTCCCATTCTGTTCCTGGCAATAGCTCCTCTGAAGGGACCACAGCCTCCCTACACGCCAGCCCCACCATGTCCCCCTGCTATCCAGAGCTCTACCCTCTTCTCTGCTCGCCTACCCCCACCCCCCTCAGTGATGGCTCTTGCTTAAAGGGTCAGAGGAGCACAGGGGCTGTTGAAGACAGAGCAGCATCTTCAGGGGCCTCCTGGATGTGAAGAAATGAAAGGATGTTGGATTCTCAGCCCAGACTGCATACTAGAATCACCTGGAGAGATCTTTTAAATTCCAGTAGCAAAGCCCCACCTTCCAGAGAGACTGACTGAATTGGCCAGGGAAGGCGCCCCAGCATGGCTTATAAATATGTATATGTAGTTTGTTTTTAGCTCTTCAGGTATGAGTTGTAGTTTCAGGTTAGAAGTTCAGGCTGTGGTTCAGGTCAGGTGTGTGATGTTAGAAGCTCTTTGGATCAGGACTATGTCTTTGGATGTTTGTCTGGCTGTGGAGTGCATCAGAATCACCCAGGGAGTGGGAGGGGCTAGGGGAGAGTGCCTGGTTAAAAAAACAGATTCCTTAGCCCACCCTTGCTCTCTGAATCAGACTCTCGGATGTCGGGATACGGGAATCTGTATTTTGATTCTGATACAGCTAAGGTTTGGGTGCTCTGGGGCCTCTTTCTGGGGCCTCTGGAGATGCTTGTCCTGTGTTTCGGGCTGTGGGCTCAGCTGTGAGTCCCAGCAGGTGCTTCCTAGCCAGCTGTGCCGTGAGCAGTGCCCATTCTCTTTCCTCCAAGCGGAAGTTTTCTCTCTCACAGAGAGGAGGACAGGACCTCAGGCAGCCCTCAGAGACGATACCATTGTAGCTGCCTGCGCTGTAGTGGGGCTGGGCCTGGGCGTCTGCCCACGGCGGGGCTGCACCACATGGGCCCACTGTAGACCCAGGCCATGACCAGAGTTCTTCAGCGGAGGTAGAGGAATCACCCCCTGGCCTCTGAGGATGAACAACTGGGCACTGGAGCCTCCTTTTGAGGGGAAGTTCGATGTGGTCCTTAATGATGGAGACTCTGATCTTCCCAAGTTCAAATCCCAGCTCCAGCATTTACTGGTTTGGGAAGCAGGTTGCTTAGTCTCTCCCCCTTGTCTCTCTTGCTTATAAATGGGAGAGTCATGGCACCTGCCTCATAGGGCTGCTAGGGAGATACAGGTGAGGCCCTAGGATTTTGCTGGACATCTAGCATGGGCTCCCCAAAGTGAGCAGCCCTCTGACTCAGGCAGGCAGGTAGGCTGCACCCCACCCTGCTCCCTGCAGCACTGTGACTTGTCTGCCATGCT